GCGCCCCCACTCGCCCTGAAGCCGTCCCCGCAGACACCTCGGCTTGGTGACGCCTCGGCTGGAACTGACCGTGGTCCAGAGGCTCAGGCCTCCTGAGACTCACCCGGCCCTCAGTAAGAGAGCTAAGAGCACCATGTGCTGGAAATCCCTCCCGGCCCGGGGCCCTCCCCGCCGAGCCCAGTGTGTACGCTGCCCTGGCGCCCACTCGCCCTGAAGCCGTCCCCGCAGACACCTCGGCTTGGTGACACCTCGGCTGGAACTGACCGTGGTCCAGAGGCTCAGGCCTCCTGAGACTCACCCGGCCCTCAGTAAGAGAGCTAAGAGCACCATGTGTGCTGGAAACAAAGCCACAGATGAGGCTGAGGCAGTGAAATCACAAATTCCTGACCAGTCTGACTTACATTTAAAGACTTCATCTTGGCCAGGCATGGTGACGCACACCTATAATCCCAGCACTCAGGAGGCTGAGGCAGGAGGATCGCTATGAGTTCAAGACCAGCCTGGGCTACATAGCAAGTTCCAGGTCAGTCTCAGCTACATAGTGAGACCCTGTCTCAAAAGGCAAAAAACAGGGCCAGGGATATAGCTCAGCGGCTTGGTGGTCTGCCTTGCAAGCGCAAGGACCCGAGTTCAATCCCTCGTACCAAAATAAACAAAAAACAAAAAAGACCTCATCTTGGGCTAAAGATTTAGCTCAGTGGTTCTGCCACCTTCCTTACAAGCACAAGGTCCAGAGTTCGATCCCCGGTACCAATAAATAAATAAATACATAAATAAATAAATGAATAAAATAAATACGTAACGACCTCATCTCAGAAATAACCTAATGAAGCCAGGCATGGTGGCGCACGCCCGTAATCCCAGCACTCAGGAGGCTGAGGCAGGAGGATCGCTGTGAGTTCTAAACCAGCCTGGGCTACACAGTGAGTTCCAGGTCAGCCTCAACTACACAGTGAGACCCTGTCTCAAAAAATAAATAAAATAACCCAATCAATCATATTTTAAAATCCATGAATATTAATAAACACCTTTTTAAAAGTCAGCGAAGGTAGCAATGGTGTCACACACCTGTAATCTCAGCAGCTGGGGAGGCAGAAGCAGGAGAACTGCAAGTTCAAGATCCGCCCGAGCAACTTAATGGCTTAGCGAAAACTGGGTCAAGATAAACCGGTTCTGGGGTTCGCAAGCTCTTCCCTGGAATTCTTTGCAGGTTCTTGTCCTGAACAAAGACATTTGGGCCAGAATGTGTAAAAGGTAGTGTGAGGTGTTGCATTTAATAAAGGTGTGGAAAGACGCATCCTGAGCAGCGCGGGTGGGCGGCAGTGACCATGAGGCTGGCAGCGCCATCTTTTGTATTCCCCCTTCTGACGTCAGACCCACGCCGTCCTATCCACAACCTGCTTGATCTCATAGAGGAACTGAAGATCGCACTTCCTGATTGGTCCCAGGTGCAGGGCATGGGCGGTGGGTTTCTACGCATGCGTCCTCCGTTTCTGTGATGGACACATCAGGACCCCTGCCCGGAGGGCTGGCCACGCTCATACCTCGACGGGCCTGGGGATTCTCTCTCCAGGCCACCATGACGTGGGCAGCTTGTCTCCCGCTGGCCTGTCCATGTGCCATTCTTGCCTCACAGCTGGTCAACCGCGCAAGACCTGAAACTTCTGAGTCATCGGAGCCTTCGCACCTTGCGCGAAGAAGCCCACCCTGCTTTGTGACGAGGCCCCCACTCCATACCTGTGTCCGCCCCTCGTGGCCAGGACAGTTAGCGTGGCCGGAAGTGGGACAGGGAGTGGAGAAGCATTTCCTGGGGAGGTACCCTCGGGGTTCCTATGCTCCTTCTAAATGTGAACTCTGCTTTCCCTTGAATAATCTAAAATACAAGGCGTGGTGCAGGTGGGAGGAAAGAGGGGTCTGAGGCTGGAGCTCTGTGCTCCTGGGCTCAGTCACAGGGGAGGTTGGGGGAGACAGGAAGGGAGGGGTTGCCAATGCCTCTGGTTCACATTGCCGATACATAAATCCAGTTGTCGTCCAGACTTCAACTCTGGAGCAAGAAACAGTAGATGATGCCTCTCTGTTCCCTCAACCCAGCAAGACTGCTTTTCAACCGCTAAATTTGTGATAATTTGCTGTGGTAGTGCAGGCTGGTCTTCA